ACCAAGGGCAATGTAGTGAGACGCTATCTCTCTCAAAAAAAAAAAAAAAAACTTTTGGTGCTACTGGGATGGCATGAATACACTTTTCACGTGAGAAGAACATGAATTTCAGGGGGCCAAGGAAGAATGCTATGGCCTGAATATTTGCCTCCCTCAAAATTCATATGTCAAATTCCCAATCTAATAGTTTTAGGAGGTGGGGCTTCAGGGAAGTGATTAGTCATGAGGGTGAAGCTCTTAGGAATGGGATTAAAGGCCTGAGGTGGCCCTTTCCACCATGTGAGGACACAGCCTGAGATGCCCACCGTGAACTAGAAAGCAGGCCCTGGCCAGACACTGAATCTGCTGGTGCCTTCACCTTGGACTTCCCAGCTTTCGCACCTGTAAAGTTTATGGTACTTTGTTACAGCAGCCTGAACTAAAAGTCAATCAGGGCCTGACTTTTTCAGTCCTCTGTGTTTCCAATGTGCTGCCTTATAGAGCCTGGTACAAAGCAAGCAGGACCAGAGAGTTGGTGGTGCCGACCAGTGACCATGGGCTGAAGGCCCTCAGAACACACTTGAGCGTCTCTCCTTCTTTCTCTCTGTCACTTGTGGAACAGGGAGGGTGGACCAGAAGGAGTTGATTTTTAAATTTTCTGGGGAAATTATAGCAGCATCTCTGCCCTGTCCCCATAATTCCATCTCCAACCCCACTGTTACTGCCCTAGTGCAGGTATCACCCCCTATCACTAGAATTATCTAAACGGTCCCCCATAATGACTCTGCCTCTGCTTGGTGTCCCTTTCACTCCCTCCTCCCCCAGCTAGGATGCAACACAACCCCTACTCAAACAGTCAAGGGCCCTACAAAATAAGCCCCAGGCTCCGCGCGCCATCTCAACAGCCCTGCCCAGCCACCTCCTGCACCCTGGCATGTGCTCCCCTCAACTCTAACTCCCTTGGAAGCTTCCCCACTCAGAATCCAGGGCGTCTGCTCTCAGCTTCCAACTCCCCCCTCACCTGTCCTCCCCATTGTCTCGGGGACCACCTCCTCAAGAAGCCTTCCCAGTCGGTCCAGTGGCATCTATAATCCCAGCACTTTGGGAGGCTAAAGTGGGCAGATTGCTTGAGCTCAGGAGTTTGAGACCAGCTTGAGCAAAAGCAAGACCCCAGTCTCTACTAAAAATAGCAAAACTAGCTGGGTGTTGTGGCAGGTGCCCGTAGTCTCAGATATTGGACAGCCTAAGGCAGCAGGATCTCCTGAGCCCAAGAAGTTTGAGGTTGCTGTGAGCTACGATGCCACGGCACTCTGCCCAGGGCAACAGAGTCGAACTCTGTCTCAAAAAAAAAAAGAAATAAGTAGAAGTTTTCCTAGAGTCCCAAGTATTGGCATTCTTCTTTTTTCCCTACCTAGACTGTAAATTGTGTGAGCAGCAAGTTCATGTTTTGTCAGCCCCATGGCTCCCCCAGCAACTGCATGGTGTCTGACACACAGTTGATCTGTTTGCTGAATTTCAGTGATAGGGTAGAAGGCAGGAGTGGCATGGTCTGGCTAGGGACAAGAGTGTGATGGCAGCTGTTAGATTTCGGGAGATGTATAAGCCTCCGTTAATATTCAAGGTCAAGTAAGTGTACTAGAACGGGGGTTTGTGGGGGACCTAGATCCGGATTGCCACATCATCTTACGTGTGAAAAGCACTTTATGTTTTTCAGTGTGCTATTTCTTTCCATTCTCTCAGTAATGTTCAGAAAAAAGGGATTATTCTTCCACTGGACAGATTTGAAACTAGGACCCAGAAAGGTCACATAGCAAATTGAGGGAGAAAGCAGCTGCGGGCTCCCTCAGGATAGGCCAATCTCGGTGGTGGAACTGTCCTTCCCACACTCACCTGGTTTGCAGGGGATGGGCTGGATGGGCAAGGCCAGCTGGGAGTCAGGGGTGACAGGCAAAGGCTGGTGGCTTGGAGGGAAGGCTGGGATCATGACATAAGGCATGTTGACCTGCTGAAGGCAAAGACACCTTGCATGAGTGTGACCATCTAGCTAGATGTGGTCAGCCCAGTCTTCAAAGGATTCATCGGACCCCCATGCCAACGCTATAGGCCCCTGTCCATCTGGCCTCAAGTCTCAGCTGGGAGGGGGAAAGATATTCTGGGTTCCTCCCTTAAAACAAGGAAAGAAGACAGGGTGGGGGCTAGAACAAAAGTAAGGGCAACCCCCCCAGGATCAGGCCTGAATGAGTCTCCTCTGGGGAGCTTTAGCTTGGTCCATATCCCCTATCCCCTACCTGCCCCCAGCACCTCTCCATGTTGGCATCTGCTCCCTCCACCACCTTCTCTATACCTCCCTCCACCACCATCTCTGCACCTCCCTCCCAGATCTCCCCTCTCATTACCTGTATCTGCTGCTGAAGAAGGTTGATCTTATGCTGCTGCTGAATTAGCTGTTGCTGTTGCTTGGCAATCTGATAGAGGGACAGAGTGGGCAAGGGTGTCATGGATGTGAGCCCCACAGAACTCTAACCACACCCCTGCCTTCCACACAGGAGTGAATCATGGGGGGCAGTGGGTGGGGAAAGCAGAATAGGCAACCCTCAGAACTGCCTTTCCTTTAGTGGGGAGCTCACTCCTCTCTCAAGGACAAAGATGGAGGCTGGGCAGGATGCAGTCAGCTACTCTTCCTACAGACTCTTTCCACTCTATCCACCCAAGGGCTTATGAATCAGGCTGAGGCAGGAAACCTAAAGCACCTGCCCCTAGGCCTCTGCCTTACTGGCTAGGTGGTAGGCCTACCTTCCACGCATTCCCTTCTAGGCCTTGCCAGACACCCCTTCAAGCCCCTGAAAGAAAACCAAATAGCCGGCCTACCTGCTCCTGCTGCTGCCGGGCCAGCTCCATCTGCTGCTGTTGCTTCTCAAAGAGCATGGCAGCCATGTTCTTCTGCTCTGAATGGGCCGTCAGGAGCTGGTCCCGCAGGGTGGATAGCTGGTGGATCATGACCAGTAGCTGGAGCTCCTTCTCTGCCAGGCTCTCTTGGGTCCCTGTCCACAGTAAAACAGTCACCATTGAGTTTTTTTGTTGGTTTATCTGCCTGTCCATCTACCCATCCATCTACCCAATGTTTATTGAGCAACTGCTATGCCCCAGGCCCGATAAGGGCCTGAGCAACAGAGATGATGAGACCTGACCTGCCCTGGAGGAGAGTCCTTATCTTGCTCTCTGACAAGTAGCTAGTCTAGATATTCCCCACCATTAGCCACTGATTCCAGGTCTTGGATATGCTGACAGTGGGACATCTTAGACCCAGGCCCCTGGGCCTCTTGGATATCCTCTAGTGCCCAGTGCCACATCAAGTGCCTAATGCCACACAGGGTCAGGGTGGGCAGCATCCCAAGGGAAGACACTGGAACATGCTCAGGCTTTGGAGCAAGACAGGTCTGAGTTCAAATTCCCTTTCAACCTATTCTGCCAGTGAGCTGTTAGGCAAATTGCCAATTTCTCTGTACTTCTGTAAATCTGTAAATGGGCACATTAACAGGCACTTGATGGGGCTACTCTGAGGGTTAAAGCTCATTTATGCAACACAAGGAAATTTCCCCTCATTTTAGAGTGAGACTGGGAAATGGCAATGGCATATCTGCTGTCACAGCTGTGGGATTTGATTCCCACTAGGCCACTCCTGCATGGGGTGAGCCAGACCTAAATGCTTGGGTACCCCCAGGTAAGGGCAGGTGATGACCCCTAAAGCCAGGCAGAAGCCAAGTGGCACAGGACAGGTGTGAAGGTGCCAAGAACCCAAGAACTGCTCTACAGACCCAACTGCAAGGCCATGCCAGAAGGGAAAGGGGGTTAAATATCCCTCCCCCAACCTCAAACAGGCCCTCACCTTTGACATCTTTAGTTTCCAGAGAGTTCCTTCCCAGAAACCTCTCCTTCCAGTCACTGGACAGCAACTTCTCGATGGCCGGCACCACTGGAAGAGAGCACCAGGATGAGAAGCAGCTGTCCCAATACCCTGCCCAGGCCCTGCCTCTAACTAGGGCAGACAACTCACCTTCTTTTAAATTTCGGTTGAAGTCCAGCTTCTCCTGGCTTCCAGAAGCAGCCTCAGAGGCTCCTAGTCTCTTGGGTTCTGGGGACCCATTGCTCTCGGGAGAGCTACAGTCCTGTTAAGATACACTGAATTGTCACTGTCACCCCCAGAAGAGAGGACAGACTAGGGAGGGCTGAGCACCCCAGGGACGTCCAACCTGAGGGAACCCCAGATATCACCCAAGCTCCACTGCTCCACCCAGGAGGCCCTTTGTCCCCCACCTTCCCAACCTTTGCTCACACTTCACTTGATACAGTGAAAAGAACAAAAGATCTGAAGATAAAAGGCCTGGGTTTCAGTCCAGGCTTAGTGACTCACAAGGAGCTTGATCCCACACAAGTCCCTGAACTTCTCTGAACCTGATTTCCCACTTTTGAAAATGGAAATATTAATACCTCCCCTGTCACAGGATTGTTGCTGGGATCAAGGGAGTTAATACATGTGAACAAGGTTTGCCTCGGCAGAGTCAGGGGCCAAAAGCTATTAATTATTACTCCCTTGCATCCACCTGCTGCCCTGGCAGGGCTGGTTATTTACAGGGCCCCACCTCATCCCTCCTTAAGAAATGGCCCCCTCACTCCTTTTCTCATCTAAGTCCTCCTCATCTTTCAGGCCTAGCTTGAGGCCCTACTCCAGGAAGTCTTTCTTGATCACCACACACACACACACACACACACACACACTCCTAGCTGGATTCCTCCTTATAGCCCCCAAACTCTCCTCATTTTCACTCATTTCTCTTTTTCGTTTCAATACAGAGTCTTGCTCTATCACCCAGGCTAGAGTGCAGTGGCATCATCATAGCTCACTGTAACTTCAAACTTTTTTTGTTGTTATTGCAGTTTGGCCGGGGCTGGGTTTGAACCCGCCACCCTTGGTATACAGGGCCAGAGCCCTACCTACTAAACCACAAGTGCCGCCCATAACTTCAAACTCTTAAGTTCAAGCAATCTTCCAGCCTCAGCCTTCCACCTTTCAAGTTGCTACACACACACACACCCCACCACCACCCTTGCTAATTTTTAAATATTTTTGTAGAGATGGGGTCTTGCTATGTTGCCCAGGCTACTCTCAAACTCCTGGCCTCAGGTGATCCTACTGCCTCAGGCTCGCAAAGTGCTGGAATTACAGGCATGAGCCACTATGGTTGGCCCTCATTTGACTTTTAATTTTATATTCCCTTTTTACAACTCCTGCGTGGAATCATAGAATTTTTAAGAGCTATAAGAATCCTTATTGGTCAAGTAGTTCAAGTTTCTTATTTTAAGAGTGAGGCGCTATATTGTCTTTTTTTTTTTTTTTTGAGACAGGGCCTTAAGCTATCCCCCTGGGTAGAGTGCTGTGGCATCACAGCTCACAGCAACCTCCAACTCCTGGGCTCAAGCGAGTCTCCTGCCTCAGCCTCCCAAGTAGCTAGGACCACAGGCGCCCGCCACAGTGCCCGGCTATTTTTTGGTTGCAGCTATCATTACTGTTTGGCAGGCCCGGGCTGGATTCGAACCTGCCACCTTAAGTGTATATAGCTGGTGTCTTAGCCACTTGAGCCACGGCACCGAGCTGCTATATTGTCTTTAGCAATGATTTAACTCTTTCTTGGGTAATAAGGTTAGTTTTCTCAAATCACATGAAAAAGCTGATATATTACACTGAAGCCAAACTTTTACTATGTGCATTCCTTCTCCCCACCTAGTCCCGAGGAGCACAGCCTGGGTCACACAAAGGCAAACAGTCATTCTCAGGTGACTAAGTGAGTGCAGGAGTGAGCCCGTGCCCAGCTCTGACAGGTGACCTGGCTTCCAGCCTCAGACTGAGCTTGACGGTCCCTCTTAACTCTCCTGCATCCGCTGCCTAGCTAGGGGAGCAGGCCTGCTTAGCCCAGCAGAGAAGCCAGGTATGGACAGAGGTAGGGTGGGGACACTGACCCAGGAGCCCCTGGGAAAGTGCTGGGCACCTGGGCTGGAGCTTGGGAGTCTGCACCATCCTGGGGGACCCGGGCTGGGTCTGCAGGCTGGGGCTCAGTAGCAGCAGCTAAGCCCTGAGGGGCCTCATGGCAAGGATCCTTCTTGTCTTCAGACTTGACAGTGCAGTTCACCATGGTGCCAACGCCATCCAGGGCCAGCTGGGCAGAGATGGGACTCCTCATGGACATCCTAGGGGTGGGAGATGAGAGGAGAGTCAGGTTCAGTGAGTCTCCACAGCCCAGTCGTGAACCCCCACCTTTCAAGCACTAGAGGCAGTGGCTCCCCCAGTGTCTCCAGGTATCCCTCACTGGCACAGTCACACAGAATGCAAGTGGGCATCAGGAACCCACAGAGAAACTAGAAAGGGCTCTTCTGTCCCTTGAGGTTTCTTTATCTTTTATTATTTAAACAGAAAGGTCTAAAGGTCTAAAGGGGTTGGGACTGGCAGGCTGGTGGACCAGTCCAGGGAAGCTGGAAATGCTAACTGGCTGTCTGAGCCCAGTAGAGCTAAAGATTGTGTGTGTGTGTCTGTCTGTCTGTGTATATTTGTGTGTATATATATATATATCTTTGTAATTAGTTACAAAAAACTTGAAAATCGAGATACAGCACATAAAAACCAGGACTCAAACTTCCAGTTCAATTGTTGCTGTGGCAAAACTGGCTAGAACTGAATAGCAGGTGCTCCTTATGGACAGGCCAGTTTGCCTCAGTCTCTACCACTCCAGAGTACTCCCCCAAAATGGAACCAAGTATCAACTACCCTGTGACCTGTGGCACAATGGTAGCGCGTCTGACTCCAAGTATCAACTACCCTTACATAAGACATTAATTTTTTTTCCTTATAATGGAGATAAGGTAAAAGTGAAACGTTTCTTATGTTCGTGCATCTATTAAAAGTGAGAAAATAGGCTCAGCGCCTGTGGCTCAAGTAGCTAAGGCGCCAGCCACATACACCTAAGGTGGCAGGTTTGAATCCAGCCCGGGCCTGCCAAACAACAATGATGGCTGCAAACAAAAAAAATAGCCAGGCGTTGTGGCGGGTGCCTGTGGTCCCAGCTACTTGGGAGGCTGAGGCAGTAGACTCGCT